CTGCGGGGGCTCCAGTGGTTAAGACGCTGAGCTGCAGACGGGAAGGTCGGTAGTTCAGCAGTTCGAGACCCGAGTGTGCCGCAAGACGGAGTGAGCTCCCGTCTCTAGTTCCAGCTCCTGCCAACCGAGCAGTTCGAAAGCAAGAAATTGCAAGTAGATAAATAGGTACCGCTTCGGTGGGAAGGTAACAGAATTCCATGCACCTCGGTGTCTAGTTATGCCGGCCACATGGCCACGGAAACGTCTTTGGACAGCGCTGGCTCTTTGGCTTGGAAACGGAGATGAGCACCGCATTCCTAGAGTCGGATTCGACTGGCTTTCGAGCCAGGGAAACCTTGACCTAGCCCCTGTGGCGGCCCAGATCTGCCTGGTGGGGAAGCCCCACGGCCTGAAAGTCTCAGAAGCCAGTGAGGTGGCTGAGCGACAACTCCCATGACTGGCGGTGGGGCCCAAACCGCTCCTTTCTGCTCCCCCGCCTAGGAAGTGCAGCATGGCGCAGTGCATTTCTTGTCTCATACACATCCAGTTTCCCTTGGTTCAGCATTTGGACTGCCCCGGAGCAAGACCGTATCAAGCAGCTCTGTAAACGAGCCACACCCACGGTTAGAAATCGGCCCCTCTCTAGAACCGCTTGTCTGAGTTGCACAGACCAGACCTGTACTTTGCCTCAGTCTACAGACGTGGCTGAGGGTGGCGCTGCTACTGCTCAAGTGGTGGAACCACCGTCACTCAGCCGGAAGGAGTCCGCTTCTACCCATGCCCTTTGCAGCCCCAAGTTCATCAGTCAGTCACAGGTGACCCTGGTGTCCTTTTCCAGCACAAAGTGTACCCAGAGAACACATTCTGGAAAAGAAAACACAAAGATCGTGAGGGTCTTACCTTGGAGGGCCAGTGTGGTGTAGTGGTTAAGTGCGTGGACTCTAATCTGGGAGAGCCGGGTTTGATTCCCCACTCCTCCACTTGCACTTGGCTGGATGGCCTTGGGCAAGCCGTAGTTCTGATCAGTTGAGAATTCAATTATTAACAATAACACTACAGTATGTGATATAAAGCTTAGCAGCACATACAAAGTTAATACAGTACTAGTTACAGACAAACGACGGAGTTCTAGTACAGGTTCATCAGGTTTGTCATTCGGTACTTCTTTCTTCATTAGAATGAAGTGCTGAAGCCATATTTCAAAATGCTAATTCTTATACAATTTTTGATGTGCGCTATATGGCTTGCAGCACTTCATTCTAATGAAGAAAGAAGTACAGAATGACAAACCTGATGAAGGACACGCAAACGGATAGTGTACTAGAACTCCGTCGTTTGTCTGTAACTAGTACTGTATTACTTTGTATGTACTGCTAAGCTTTATATCACATATTGTAGTGTTATTGTTAAAAATTGAATTCTCAACATTGCATATAAAAACCAACAAGTATTGTTTAATTGTACACGATGACTTACTGTTTCACTGTAGTTCTGATAAGAGCTGTCCTTGAAAAAGAGCAGTTCCTGTCAAGAGCTCTCTCAGCCCCACCTACCTCACAGGGTGTCTGTTGTGGGGAGGGGGAGGAGTTTGTAAGCCGCTCTGAGACTCCTTTGGGTAGTGAAGGGCCATGGGGGATAAACCCAATCTCTTCTTCTCCTTCTTGAATTGGGACGCATGTATTTTTACCCTCAGAGTCTGAGAAGCTGCGGTCTCATAACAGAAAGTCAACCTGCATGAAGCGGCCTTCTACTGAATCAGACCCGTGGTCCATCGAGGGCCAGGACTGCATCAGCACACTGTTGGTGCCTCTCCGGGGTCTTTCATATCACCTGCCATCGGAACCTTTTCACTACAGGTGCTGAGGGCTGGACTTGCAGCCTTCTGGAGGCGAAGCAGATGTCCTGCCACTGAGCTGTGACCCAGCGACTGGAGGGCTGCTCTATTCGTGGAGATACCTGAATGGGTGCTCATTGTGTAATATGCAGATTCCCTAAATGAGAAATGGCCGTTGGAGGAATTAGCCGTCTCTCTTCTAAACACGTACGGGATCTGCATTCGAAAAGCAGAGGAGGCAGCCAACCTCGCTCCACCTGCAAGGCCCTGAGAACCCAAAGCTCTTTAAAATCATTCTATCCGCTTGAGTGGATCTGTCAAACCAGGACACTGGAAAGGACATACACCGAAGAATGTCTGTTGCCAGGTTAGGTTGATGAATGGAACTCATCTTGGATAAAGTAAAATTTAACATCAAGAGCACCGCACTTTACTTAATGATTGTTTTATACTGTTTAATGATTGTTTTATGTTGTTTTAACTGTTGTTATGGCAATTGCCTCTGCTGTAGCCGCCCTGAGCCCGTTGGGGAGGGCGGGGTACAAATCGAATGAATGAATGAATGAATGAATGAATGAATGAATGAATGAATGAAAAAATCTAGGTTCAAATGGAAACACTTTGAAAAAAGTTATTCTCCCGCCCCATGGAAACCTACCGTGCTGCCATAGGAATGAAAGAGGGAACAAAGATGGAGGTCTCTCCACAGTAACTTTCTCTTGCCTGCGGTGACATCTGTTGGCCAGTCACCCAAACAGCCTTGCTGGAGGACTGCCACTGCAGCAGCCATTTTAAACAGAATGGACCATTCAGAGGTTTTTCCTATCTGCCTTTTGTCCAGTGTACAACAGCGGGCCAAGCCTCAGGCTGCACCCCTGATGCACACTTGTAAGCATGGAAATTCCTTTGGATTCTGCTGGACTAACCGGATGGGGGGAATCAGCAAACCTCTCCCTTCCTGCTGCTGCACTGATGGGCGGGCCCCTCAGGCCCCAAGCCCTGGTGTCCAGCATCCGCGGCAACGCTGATGGGCCTCCAGTTTGTCTACGGATGCAGTTTCGGGTCCTCTCAGAGCACCGCTGTGCAGGAAGGGCATCAGCATGTGGGCAGTTGGACAATGAAGAAAAATGACAGGAAGAAAATTGATTCATTTGAAGTGTGGTGCTGGAGGAGAGTTTTAGGGATACCACATGGACTGACAGAAAGACAGATCAGTGGTACCTTCTAGATGAAATCGAGGCTGAACTTTCCTTAGAAGTTAAAGTGACCAAAGGGAGGCTGTCATACTTTGGTCACATTATGAGAAGAGCTGCTGGAATGGACACCAGAAGAGCCCTGCTGGATCAGGCCAGTGAGGGTCCCTCTAGTCCAGCCTCCCGTCTCACACAGGGGCCAGCCAGTTCCCCTGGAGGGCCAACAACAGGGCAGAGAGGCTGAGGCCTTCCCCTGATAAGAGCATCAGAAGAGCCCTGCTGGGTCAGACCAGGGAGGGTCCCTCCAGTCCAGCCTCCCGTCTCACTCAGGGGCCAGCCAGTTCCTCCGGAGGGCCAACAACAGGGCAGAGAGGCCGAGGCCTTCCCCTCAGGAGAACCTCAGAAGAGCCCTGCTGGATCAGACCAGGGAGGGTCCATCTAGTCCAGCCTCCCGTCTCACACAGGGGCCAGCCAGTTCCCCTGGAGGGCCAACAACAGGGCAGAGAGGCTGAGGCCTTCCCCTAATGTTGCTTCCTGGCTCTGGGATTCAGAGGATTAGTGCCTCTGAATGTGGAGGTTCCCCTCAGTCACCATGGCTAGGAGCCACTGATAGACCTCTTCTCCATGAATCTAACCCCAATAATAGCAGGAGAAGAGGAAGGCTCATTATGGGATGGCATGCCTCTATGAAGGAAGCCACAAAGGTCCTCAGTTTGCAGGACCTGAGCAAGACTGTCAACGCGAAGACATTTTGGGGGACATTCATTCATTCATAGGGTTGCTGTAAGTTGGAAGCGGCTTAACAGCTCTTAACACGTACGTGCACACACACACACACAGACACATCCTTTCTCAACTGAGAAGAAAACAATTCTATTTATGTCTTACAATCTAAGTTTGAAAAATCCTTCTTGACCAACTTCTCATTAGAAACCAGCATCTGCCTGCCCTGGGAGAACAGTGTGTGTGTGTGTGTGTGTGTGTGTTCAATTTTCATGACATAGATCAGCATTGCCAAGGATTGTAAATGTAACTATGCAGCTCCTTTTACTGCCATAAGCGCAAACAAACGAAGCACAGACTGATAGAACAAAGCGCTTGAGCGTATCAAAGTATATTATAACATATAACAATATTAAAGCAGATACTAATACACAAAAGAATGGTAAGTTTCAGGTGAAGGTGAACTTCTATCAAAATGCAAGTGAATCCAACGAAAACCTCCGGAATGACTCTTCATTTCGCCTCTTCATCAGAAGGGTGACTTAGTCACACTTTGCATCATGAACTAAGTCACGCCCGGTTAAACGTTTGTTTTAAGAATGTATTTATGGTAGAAAAACCAGGAGAAGATTTGTATATGATATGTCAAACTGTGGTATGAATGAAACGAAGAGTCATTCCGGAGGTTTTCGTCAGATTCACTTGCATTTTGATAGTTCACCTTCACCTGAAACTTACCATTTTTTTGTGCATTAGTATCTGCTTTAATGTGGAGCTGCGGTGGCTCAAGTGGTTAAGACGCTGAACTGCAGGCTGTGGAAGGTCAGTAGTTCAGCAGTTCGAGACCCGGGTGCCACAAGATGTCGTGAGCTCCCGTCTCTAGTGCCAGCTCCTGCCACCCTAGCAGTTCGAAAGCAAGAAATTGCAAGTAGATAAATAGGTACCGCTTCAGTGGGAAGGGAACAGCGTTCCGTGCGCCTTGGTGTTCAGTCATGCTGGCCACATGACCACGGAAACGTCTTCGGACAGCGCTGGCTCTTCGGCTTGGAAACGGAGATGAGCACCGCAACCCTAGAGTCGGATTCAACTGGCTTTCGAGCAAGGAAACCTTTTCATTTTTATCTGCTTTAATATTGTTGTATGTTATAATATACTTTGATACGCTCAAGCGCTTTGTTCTATCGGTCTGTGCTTCATTTGTTTAGATCATCTCAGGACTGCGTTCTCCATCGCATACGTATAAGCGCAGATACAATCAGGAAACGAAGAGATCTTCCTCATAATTCTTTATTCGGTTTATACACCCGTTCACACATGCCATTTTACAAACTCGTCTCTTCGCACATCCTGACTGGAACATTGTAATGCCTGTCGTCTTCGGTGATCAGGGTCACCACCGGCCAGCCCTCCTCTGGGCCGCTGGGATAAAGAGCCAGGAACTCATCCGTGCCGTACTTGTACAGTCGGTAGACGTGAAGGGAGTGCTGCAGCGTGTAAGCCAGGAGGAACATTTCCACCTGGGCAGGGAAACAAAATAGGGGCGTTAAATCATCATCCCTGTGCTGAGAAGTATCTGCCCTGGCTGCCCGTCCATTTCTGGGCACAACGCAAACGCTCGAGTTCTGGCCTGCAAGGCCACACATCGCTCTGGGCTCCCTTTCCTCCAGTCCTCCCCATCCCCCCCCCCAGTTAAGGTCTTCCTCAGCCAAGCCCTTCTTCCTGGGCCCCCACCTGCAGAGGTGAGGCAGGGAGCAAACGGAGACGGGGCTCTTTCAGTGGTGGTGCCATGCTCTGTGGGGTGCGCTCCCCCTCGAGGCTCACCTGGTGCCTGCCCTACTCTTCTGACCGCAGACCAGAAAAAGCAGGGGCAAAAAGCAATGTAACGAGAGGGCTGATCTTTAAACCGTTTTTACAAATTGCCTCTTGTCGGAGGATCACTACAGGCCTCCTTTCAGCTACCAAACGGTTCTTTCTCGGCCGGCTTTTAATCTGTTCGCTTTCAATGACTTTATCGCGTCTCCTTTTGTGAGCTGGCTCTATAGCAGGTCTCTGAAAGAGAAGGCATCTAGCGGGTCTGAATAAATGGTTATTAGAAGGCCCCGATGAGGCGTCGGCTGCCCTGGTAGGGGGGCATGCGAACAGCACCCTGCAACCCCAGCAGCCAGGTCTCCTTTTTAAAAAACTGGAGTTGTCCTGGTCAGCTGGGCTGGAAGGAAAAAAGAGGTAAACTCAATCTACCCTTTCTGCCACCGAACAGCTACAAGCTGCAAGCTTTACCTGGAGTCAGGCTTTCATGCCCAGGGTCCCTGCGGCTATTCGTAGCCCCTTTCGGGAGGCAGGCGTTTGGGCTTCGGTCCCTGGGTAGAGGCCTGAGTGCGCACCCTTTGCTCTGCTGGATCGGGGCCCTGCCAGTCTATCTTGTTCAAAAGCTGACGGGGGAAGAACTCCCTTCTGCGCCAGGGGAGGCTGAGTTACTCCCATGGCCACGTTACGTCATTTTGGCCTGACGTCCTGGAGTGATACCGGGATTAAAGCCGCTGCTGTGGGTTGACCAGCACCTGCCGCTGCCTCAAACGCTCTCCAATGAGACGAAAAAGGTTCAAGGGATAACTGCAAACAAACACTGAAATCCTAGCAGTAAGAATCCCCCCCCCCAAATATACCCACATCCTCTCCAGAATGTGGGTGAACCAAACACCATTTCTTAAAGTACCTTTTATCAGTGTTCCCTCTAAGCTGAGTTAGTGTGAGCTAGCTCACAATTTTTTAGCCTCCAGCTCACAGATTTTTGTCTTAGCTCAGGAAGAACGGCTCCAGATCAAGCTAATTTATGCAGCAGCCAAATCACTGGCTCACAACTTTAATGCCAGTAGCTCACAAAGTAGAATTTTTGCTCACAAGACTCCACAGCTTAGAGGGAACATTGACTCTGATTCACTTAAACATTTACTAACCTTTTACTGGAACCCACAACTAACTGCAGACGCAGGCCAGTCCCAGCCAGGTATCGTTTACCTACCACCACCCCGGGCTCATGTCTAGTGTTCCCTCTAAGCTGAGTTAGTGTGAGCTAGCTCACAATTTTTTAGCCTCCAGCTCACAGATTTTTGTCTTAGCTCAGGAAGGAGGGCTCCAGAGCAAACTGATTTATGCAGTAGCCAAATCGCTCGCTCACAACTTTAAAGCCAGTAACTCACAAAGCAGCATTTTTGCTCACAAGACTCCACAGCTTAGAGGGAACATTGCTCATGTCATGTGCTGAACCCTAACCCATCGACTACAATTCCACAGGGAAAAGCTAAGGATTTGGTCCCCAGGCCTGTTGACAAGCAGGAGGCTCCATCGGGTTCCTCTGGACTGGCCATGTTCCGACCGTTGCCTCCTTCCCTCCAGGGCCTGAGCCCTGCCATGCCTTTGGCGGTGACCTGGCGCTGCCTCACCCTCAGGATGCCAGGGCTCCCGCTGCTACAGGGGGAGGCCTCCCAACATCCCAGCGCGTGGGCGGCAGGGGCCTCAGGCACTGGCGGGAGGAAATGGGTAACCCAGTAAATACTGAAGTGTTTTAACGTGTAACACCCAACAGGAGGGGAGATGCAGGTGTCCCCTCTGCTAAAAACCAGGAGCGTTTCATAACATGCAGTAAAGTGCTAGAGAGTCTCCAGACATCTGGAAATGACATCAGCACAGGCACACACACACACCCAATTCCCTCCTGGGGCAACCGGAAGGAGCCGCCGGCAATGTTCCCTCTAACCTGCAGAGTCTTGTGAGCAAAAACTCTACTTTGTGAGCTATTGGCATTAAAAGTTGTGAGCAAGTGATGTGGCTACTGCATACATTAGTTTGCTCTGGAGGCCTCCTTCCTGAGCTGAGACAAAAATGTGTGAGCTGGAGGCTAAAACACTGTGAGCTAGCTCACACAAACTCAGTTTAGAGGGAACACTGGCCACCAGCCGCCTGGCCAGAGAGTGATCCAGGCCCCTCAAAACATCATGACTGCGCAACACCGCAAAGTAGCCGGTCCGGGTAATTCTTGGTGTGCTTATTTGCTCCCCCAGTTGGCTTTCTAGAATCAGGCCCCCAGGTTTTGATATTGGTATTTCCCATCTCTCAAAACACTGAGATACCAAAAAAGCATACTCAGAAAGAGACTACTGGTATCTTTTTCGTTCAGTTTAGCATGTTTTCTTTTCCAGTTGCATAATATTTCTTCCCCAACTGTATGGCAGCTTTAGAACACACAACTGACTAAGAGACAGAAGGCATTATGAGGCGGGTCAGGCAAGGGGCCCAGCAATGAACATTTCAGGTGTGCAAATTAAAAAAAAAAAAAAAGGAGGATAAAACTTTTACGGACCTAACTGTCAGCCATGCTGCCATGATGGTTCAGGAGGCCATCGGCTTCCCTTTCCTGTGTACTAAAGGTAAAGGTTCCCTTGCTCGAAAGCCATTCAAATCCGACTCTAGGGTTGCGGTGCTCACCTCCATTTCCAAGCCAAAGGGCCAGCGTTGTCCGAGGACGTTTCTGTGGTCATGTGGCCAGCATGACTAAACACCAAGGTGCATGGAACGCTGTTCCCTTCCCACTGAAGTGGTACCTATTTATCTACTTGCAATTTCTTGCTTTCGAACTGCTAGGTTGGCAGGAGCTGAAACTAGAGACGGGAGCTCACTCCGTCATGCGGCACGCTCGGGTCTCGAACTGCTGACCTATTGACCTTCCACAGCCTGCAGTTCAGCATCTTAACCACTTGAGCCACCGCAGCTCTGTGTACTAATTACTGCTAAATTCCTTCTGTGCTTCTTCTCTGCTGTAACGCTGTTATCTCTAAGATGTGCAGGTGGTGTAGTGTCTGGCGCTGAGGGAAAACCGTGGGAGCGCTATCGGTTCCCAGCTTCGGCTCTAACGATCTGGGGCTCCTTCTCCCGCACACAGGAATGTGGCTAATTGGCCTATGGAAGGGGGGGGTGCATACGAATGCCCTATATCCCATTATGCTTGTAGGGGCGATGCCATTCTTAACAGTGCTTTTGTAAACGCATCTATAGCTCTACAATAAAGTATTACCTTTCTGATAAGCGTGTACTCAGTTGTTGGCTGTGGGTTCTGACACTAACATGTACCGCTTAATGTATATGAAGTGCTGCTTTAGGAAGTATTTTGTCTAAAGGTAAAGAAGCCCAGTGTTTGAGTAGCTTGGCCAATGGAAACTATTTGATACTTCCAGGTGGGCAGCTGTGTCAGTTGTTAGCAGCTGAACAAAATCTGAATCCAGAAGCACCTTAAAGACCAACAAAATTTTCCAGGTTGCCCACTTTTGTGAGCCAACCCTTCATCGGGCACGTTGAACTCCTTGCTTAACCCTGTTCCTGCCCTGGGAGGTGGCCTTCTCTCAGGTCACCCATTTAATTCATTAGGGGGAGAAGCTGCCCCTTCCGCACACCTTCCAGCACACGGCACCCCGTGAACAAGGTGGGCTTCAGGCAAAACCGCAAGGACCGGGGGGCTTACTTGCTCAAGGCCTCCTGTGTGCCCAAGTTGGTTCAAGTGGTTCTTCATGAGCTGGAAAGGGTCGCTGGACGTGTCCCGAGCAAAGAGAAGCCAGGAAAACTCCGGCACCTCCAGCCCCTTCTGGTTGTCTTCGTACAACTTGACGGCCGTGTTGAGCATGAGGAACTTCACAGCTTCGTACAGGCGATACTCGTCCTCCTCGCCGGCAAAAAGCTCATCGCAAGCAGCTTGCCTCTCTGCAAGGGTCTTCATTGCACTGATGCTTTCCCACTGCAGAAGGGATACATGGCGCATAAGGAGAATGGTGGGACAGGACACACCCTTCTGGGGTAAAGAACTGCCATACTTTCGGAAAAAGTGGAGTTTGGCTTAGGGGGGGAAACCCAGTCTCAGGCCGGCACTTAAGGCTGGGTCTGAGAGCTGAACCAGCAGATCGGATCCAGTGCAACATTTCCACTGGCTCTTCTGCACGGGCAACCACTTCCCGTGAGCTAAACTTATATCCTGACTTGCATTTCCACGTGTGCAAGATCTTGTGCAACCAACTTCTGGGCACTATAAAATACATACACACACGAGGAAAGTGGCAAGTACTGGACAAGTTCTTACATCCACAGAACTGCATTAAGTCCATTTATGTTTCCTCTCGTATCTTGCTGGATCCAGGCCAGTAAGAGTACCAAGAACTGATGATTCAGTTGACTAATCAATGGAGGCCAATTTTTAATTCGTGGGACCACTGTGAGTTTGGTTTATTTGTATAGCAGGAACTGAGAAGGCCATTTGTACTATTTTCTTTAAGGATCAGAAGTTCCTGCTAAACCTCAGAGCCCTGCCCTTTCAATAGCTAACAGAACAAAGTCTGGTTCTGGGGGCACCCTGAAGACCCACAAAGTGTAATTCTGGGTAGAAGCTTTCGTGTGCATGGCGCACACCAAAGCTTCTACCCAGAATTAAACTTTGTGGGTCTTCAAGATGCCCCTGGAACCAGACTTTGTTCTGTTGCTTCAGACGAACACGCCTATCCCACCAATGTTCCCTCTAAGCTGTGGAGTCTTGTGAGCAAAAATTCTGCTTTGTGAGCTACCAGCATTAAAGTTGTGAGCAGGTGATTTGGCTGCTGCATGAATCAGTTTGCTCTGGAGCCATCCTTCCTGAGCTAAGACCAAAATCTGTGAGCCGGAGGCTAAAAAAATGTGAGCTAGCTCACACTAACTCAGCTTAGAGGGAACATTGCTACCCACCTGATTCTAATATCTAACAAAGGTATGTATAAGGTTTTGGTGACATACACATTTCAATTTCCTTGATCGACTGGTGATTCAGCTAATTGAGTGATCACCAGCTTTTCAAACACTCACTTGACTGAGAGCCCTAAATGCTTTTACTTTTCTTGTTGATTTAATAGGTAAGGCATTCAACTAGGGGTGTGCAAAAAAAAAAAAAAAAAATTCGGCCCATTCGGAATCGGCCGAATCGAGCAGAATCAATTTCGGCAGGCATAAAGACTCCTGCATGTCAATTTCGGCAGTACCAGAGATTCAGGAGTCTTTCCGCCAGCCCAATGTCAGTTTCAGCCCCATTATATCCTATGGGCCATTGAAGTCAATGGGGAAAACATAGGGTTTATTCTGTGGGCTGGAGGGGAGGGGGTTTAAGGGAGAGGCTCCAAACTCGCAGGGTAGCTGCTGGAGTCTCTCCCCAAGATACCCGCCACATTTCAGGAGCATTGGACCAGGGGGTCCAATTCTACGGGCACCCAAACAGGTTGCCCCTATCCCCTCCATTGTTCTCTATGGTGGGGAAAAGTAACTTTTTTCCCACCATAGAGAACAATGGAGGGGATAGGGACAACCTGTTTGGGGGCCCATAGAATTGGACCACCTGGTCCAATGTTCTTCAAACTTGGTTGGTATCTTGGGGAGAGGCTCCAGCAGCTAACCTGCGAGTTTGGAGCCTCTCCCTCCAACCCCCTCCCCTCCAGCCCCCAGAATATACCCTATGTTTTCACCATTGACTTCAATGGCCCATAGGATATAATAGGGCTGAATTAATTTGGCGGCAAGCTGATTCAGATCAGAGAATCTGAATCAGCCTGCAGCAGCCCGAAAGGGGTCCGAATGGGCGAACCAAATGCACATCCCTACATTCAACGATGCCTATGGAAACAGATCTGAGCTAATTCCCTGTGCCAGCTGAGCCTTCATGAACCAGCAGCGACCACCTGCCTGCCCGGAGCACAGTTCAATCTAGGCTGCTCACATGTGCTGAACACCAGAACGAACAGACTCTTGAGTACGCAGGGAGCCAGCCCCACGACCACGCTGCTGAGGGCAACCCAAAAGACACACGGTCTGGTCAATGAGAACTGCTAGGATTCCTGCCTGGCAGACATCAAAGGGAAACATCCTCAGATGTTATCCCAAGAGTTGCTTCGTTTGGGTACAAGCATAACCAGTCCCTTCTTCCCAATTTGATATCCCTCTGAGACAAATGCCTGGCTCAGGGACACACACAGAAGCCCCCTAGACAGAAATCCTCGCATGCGGGAATGCAGGTGGCTTCAAGCTCTGTGCAGCCCACCTGTCAGTGTGCGGACTCGCCACATGAGGAGGGAGAGCAGGCATGAGCACGCTGGCCCTGCCTCCCCCCCCACACAAACAGGCGTGACCGTGCATCATCTGCTCCACACAGTGCGAATGCTCAGGGGACCCGCCTGCGCACATTCCGCTCCCTGTTATCGGTGAGGCTGTGCGTGCAGGTACTTCTTCCACATGTTTGCACCCTGCAAAAGACTCGACAGTAATGCAGAGGCCCGTGCCCGTGTGCACTCCCCCTCCCCGTGCGGGGAGTGAGCGTGTGCAGGGAGTGACGTTTCCTTCTGCTAAACAGACAACCTCCACTCTGACTGCCCCTCAGTGGAAGGAGGAAGGGGATCCTGCCCTCAGTCTTCGGTGGCCCTTGCAAAACACGCATGGGACCCGCAGCCTCAGAGTCGGCATCAGAACGGGGGGGCCTCCTGAGCCAGGGATTGAGGGCCGCTCTCAGCATTCCCCTTCTGCGGCTGCAGGGACGGATCCCGAGGGGCAGACCGCACACCCAAGGCTCCTCCTGGGCACGGATACTGGCCCGGCTGAAGGAACCCTGCCCAAGGTCCAATTACTTCTCAAAGGGTTGCTAGTTTACCGACAGCTTACGCTAACTGGCCATACAACGAATTAAAGGATGAGCGTGCAGCTTCCCCAACCTTCTGCTTTAACAACAGCAAGCACCCTTTGATTTCTTCAGTCCAGTTTTCTGCCTTCCCGGTTAGTTTTTGCCACTCCGCGATCCAGTCGTATTTGGCCATCAGGTGCTCTGGTAGCTGAAATTAGTGTTACAGAAGGAGTAATGTCAGCATTTGGAAAGACAGCGTGGCACCTAATGGGTCACACATTACTGAGTCAAAATATCCTTCATCCCTGCCACTGGGTAGCCTATCCAATGGGACGTGGCCTCTGGAAGCCACCTTGGATGCCCTTTTAGAATGGTGGGGGTGGTATGGGACCCTGGCCCAGGCACTTCTGCTGGCTTCTAAATTCCTAAATACTTGAGACACTCCCTAGGGCTGGCAACAGAACCTGAAGAACCACCTAAGAACATAACAGAATAAGAGCCCTGCTGGATCATCTAGTCCTCCATCCTGTCTCACACGGTGGCCAACCAGTTCCTCTGGAGGGCCAGCAACAGGGCAGAGAGGCCGAGGCCTTCATAAGAATATCAGAAGAGCCCTGCTGGGTCAGACCAGTGAGGGTCCACCTAGTCCAGCCTCCCGTCTCACACAGGGGCCAGCCAGTTCCTCTGGAGGGCCAACAGCAGGGCAGAGAGGCCGAGGCCTTCCCCTGATAAGGACATCAGAAGAGCCCTGCTGGATCAGACCAGGGAGGGTCAATCTAGTCCAGCCTCCCATCTCACACAGGGGCCAGCCAGTTCCTCTGGAGGGCCAACAGCAGGGCAGAGAGGTCGAGGCTTTCCCCTGATGTGGCCTCCTGGCTCTGGGATTCAGAGGCTTAGTGCCTCTGAATGTGGAGGTTCTCCTGCTCTGCTAAGGTATTCGGTTTATCATGGGGAGGACTGGAAGCAGGAGGCCTACCAGCATCAGGTCCTTGTTCCGGAGCCAGTCAGGAAGCCGGAGTGTTTGGCTGAGGGCTTGAAACAACGTCGCCCTGACTGCACAATAATTGTCCCCTCGCACTCTCCTGATGGAAACGAACCTTTGTGAAACGGCTTCATAGCCCTAGATTTGAAAAAGCAGAAAATATTTTAGCTGTGCACACAACTTGTTATTCCCGGTCTATTCTTTCCCTCCCACTTTAGAAGCCTCTAAAATGACTTCTAGCCACCCCCCCCCCCCCAATTTTTTTTAAACAAAGAAACAAGGATGTTTTGTCAATACATGAAAGGGCGTGTGCGTGTGGAGGGGGAGGGAAGTCTTTTATTCCTGCCATCTTCTCCCACCTACTGTAGCTCTGGCCGGCTTAGCCAACAGTCGAACCCTTCCTCATTGGCATTTAACACCAAGGCCATTTCAGGGGGCTGCTGGTGGTAACCAGCAAAAAAAAAATTCAATACGTCTGTTTTATATCAATTGCTTGTCTCAGTCAGAACTTCACATAATTAGAAGATCAATAGTTATAGTTTTTAGGAATAACTGAAGTACACCAAAATGCATAATTATAAGTGGCAGACCTGCAAAGGCTTGTGGGGAGCATCTCATTTTCCTGGTACCCTCCCTCCCCTAATGTTTCCTCCATAACCTTTCCCTTTTGTCTGACGTCTCTCCTTTCCGCATACCGGCCAACCTATCTTTATCTTCGGAATCCCCTCCTTCTCTCCCACTGGCGGAATTACCAAGTCCCATCCTGTCTGTCTGTCCCCCGTGAGTCCTCCTTCATCGGGGACATGACAGCAGAAGGGGCCGAGAGTTTTCCCAGGGCTGTTTTGGCCTCCAGGTAGCAGAAACCCAGTCTTGGGAGGCTCAGCAATATTGCTGTGGTGCCTAGCAACCTCCAAAATGGCCACCGAGAGCTTGGTGAGCATTTTTCCTTAAAGCTACACTGTTTTTTATTTGGGGGAGTTTTAATCCGCCAAATTTATTTTTTTAGCTCTCAGATTTTTCAGTAAACCTCAGTCTGACTTCAGGTTTGTAGATGAATCTCCCCTAACGGTCTCTAGCTCCGTTCTACAGATCTGTTGATCCACAATTAGATAGGATAGAAACCAGGGCTCTTTTTGTAGAAAAAGCCCAGCAGGAACTCATTTGCATAATAGGCAACACCTGACTGCAGGAACTCATTAGCATATTGGGCCACACCCCTGACAGCACAGTTCATTAGCACATTAGGCCGCACCCCCATGTTACCAGAAGTATGGTCATCCAGCCACACCCACCTTTTGCTTGTTATTGTTTACCTTGTTTGTTGTCAAAACCCAGGGCCTTTTTTTGGAGCAGGAACTCCTTCGCATGTTAGGCCACACACCCCTTATGTAGCTGTTGGGTGTGGCCTATTATGCTAATGAGTTCCTGCTGGGCATGGCCAACTTGGGAGCCAGCCGGAACTCCGTTCCTGTGCGTTCCAGCCCAAAAATAGCCCTGATAGAAACAGTTTTGAAAGGCTGATTGTTTCCCCCCCCCTCTCCTTATGCACTATGCTTGCTTATAGTAGTTGAAGCCCAGAAAAAATATCACAAACACAGCTGTTAGAATGGGTGGAGTTTTTCCTGGTACAGAACTATGTAAAGTCAACTGTCCTGGCTGAAATGAGGTTGTTGTATTCATGCAAATGTGAGTGGGCTCCTTATGGTCAGATGGCTCTAACTCCTAACAATCCTATCTAATTGTGGACCAACAGATCTGTAGAACGGAGCTAGAGACCGTTAGGGGAGATTCATCTACAAACCTGAAGTCAGACTGAGGTTTACTGAAAAATTTGAGATCTAAAAAAAAATATTTGGCGTTATGAAAGAATGCAATGAAAATATCAAGGTGTAATAACTTAAAAGAAAATTGTTATAAGATGATGTATAGATGGTATATGACACCCAAAAATTTGCAAATATGAATAAATATGTCAAACAAATGTTGGAAATTTAAAAAGATAGAGGGCTCATTTTATCACATGTGGTGGACTTGCGAAAAAGCAAAACAGTTTTGGGTTGAGATTCATGCAGAAATGGAAAAATTGTGAAAGGTAAATTTAAGAAAGAACCAGAAATTTTACTTTTGGGGCTTAAAATGGAAGAAGTCAATATGGCAAAAAGGACATTGATGTGGTATATGATCACAGCTGCCAGAATGACTTATGCACAATGTTGGAAACAAGATAAGGTTCCTGAAGTTGGGGACTGGATCAAGAAACTACTTTTCATGGTTGAAATGGACAAAATGACAAGGAAACTTAATAATCTGGAAGCAGAAGACTTCTTTGCAGACTGGAAAGATTTTAAAGACTATTTGTAAAAGTATTGGGAAGTAAGGGACAATTTATTTTGCTTTGATAATTATTGAAGGTTAAAGGATATTAAAAATAGATAAAGTTATAAGAATAAAAAATGGAGGGATAAGTTACCTATAGATATGAGTAAAAAAGGGAGGGATGAAGAACATCTAAGAAACGAACAGGAGGTTGGAGCACTGTGGGAAGCCGAGTAGGGGGAGGGAAAGGGAGGAGGGTAGGATGTATAACTATGTAATGTTTGATTTATGTTTGACTTTGTTTATTATATCCTAATAAAATGTTTTCAAAAAAAAATTGGCGGTTTAAAACTCCCCCAAATAAAAACAGTGTAGCTTTAAGGACAAGGAGTTTTTCCTGGTACAGAACTATGTAAAGTCAACTGTCCTGGCTGAAATGAGGTGGTTGTATTCATGCAAATGTGACTGGGCTCCTTATGATCAGATGGTTCTAACTCTTACAATGATATGTCCAATTTTAATTCAGAAAAAAAGTGTGCCTTGGCAATCCTAACTTTGAGAAACCCCACACTGATATACAGAAGGAATACTATTGTCAACACTGGGGTCTAGATACTACTCCTTTAGACATAAATCCAGTTCACATTTATAACTTCTGAAACTATTACAAAGATAGGGAGATCAGACCTTTCTCATGCGCTTGGCACTTGAAGTGCTTCCTCTCCATTCCTTCTGGCAATAATCCATGATATCTACTTCTGGTGCAACACTTAGTTTATTTTCTGGGGAAACTGTTTGCAATTAAGACAAGAAAATGAAATTTAGTGGGGAGCCCTGAAACAGTTCTTTTGCGCTCTAAAGAACACAGTCTGTGTGCATCCACATCCAGAAACCCCAGCCCCTTTTCTTCTGTTTCGGGAACCCCAGGGTCGCTCAAATTTGGTAAAAGTGAGAGTCCATGTACAAAACATCAGTAACCCATCTAGTTAAACTTTACACTCGGTCTGGTCACTTTGTAATGATTCGTGGCTGTCAGTTCCCAGTTAGCCAACTGTGTCTCTCGCAGAGGGGGGACTGGCCATGTTACTGACAGGGAGACTTCCTGGTGGGCCACGGCCCTAGAGGGCCCCTAGGGGCCAGGAGCAAAAGCAGAGTCAAGTTCTGCCCACTCTGCCAGAGCCTCAGAGGTCACTTGGCTTAGACCCTCCCTTGGCAACTGGTATTGATTCGCCAGTTCTGTTCTCTCTCCTACTGCTGCTAGTTTTCAGGAGGGAGCAATGGATGGCCTGTAATATCCATTGCCTGCACCATTGACTGGCCCCTGCAGCCCTGGCTTATGGTGCCACAGGGGACACGCGGCTTGCTCCAGGGCCATTTTCCTGTCCCAGTCTGTTCCTCATCTTGCCCGTGTGGGGGATGGGCATAAGAACAGGGCTGGGAGTGCGGGAAACGGTGCCCTCCAAAGCATGGCAGAAAATCTTGTTTCTGACAGTGGCCTGTGGGATGCAACAGAGAAATCTGGTAGGTGGCGGTCAGTTCCAGGCATTCTGAGTGTCTCTCCTCTTCTCTCCACATCCCAACGGTGATGCTGGGAGATTTTTTCCCTCAAGAGGAAGGCCTCAAAATGTTGACTTCCAGTGTCCTCATCTCTCTCTCTCTCTCTCTCTCCTCCCCCCTCCCAGCAAGGCTTTTGGGTAACAGGGAGTAACAGCTGAGGTAAGGTTTATTTGTCTATTATATAGCTATATGCTACTGCCCTTTTAAGACATAACCAAGTAGCATTCTGGGGAAGGAGATGGCAGTTACCAGACTTTAGTACTGACGTGACTGACAATGTTGTAGCTCATGTTTGGTGTGTTCAGAAATAAAAGCCATGTTTACTAGAGTTCCTTCCTCCTCTCCCCCCAACCCTTGCCGGTTCCCACTTCCTCTGAGGAGAGAGGGACCAGATCCCTGCAGAGACATGGTGAGAAGCTTCTCGGGGGTTTGTGAGAGTGTGTCGGAACACAGACTCACCTCTGAGAGGCGTCTGAAGAAGTGAGCGGTGACGCACAAAAGCTCCTCCACTGCCACAAATTTTGTTAGTCTTAAATGTGCCACCGGACTCTTTCCTACTGCTACAGACAGACTAGTAGATCTATATCTACATCATGTTCTATATTCTTCGGCTATCTGAAGAAGTGAGCCGTGACTCAGGAAAGCTCCTCCCCTGCCACCAGTTTGGTTAGTCTGGAAGGTGCTCCTGGACTCTTGCCATTTTCCTGCTGCTACAGACAGACAGACACGGCTGCCCATCTTGATCTACCTGAGAAGCAGTGTGGGCTACAACGGGGGTCTGCTGGGGCACACGTGGCCCGTATGTTTTAAGCTGCGAGAGGGAGCTCTTCCTTAACAGCTTGCAGGATTGCCACAGAAGGCCAAATTGGCTGTTTGTGGCAGGTTCTTGCGCTGCTTGAACAACTCTCTGCTACTGTCCTGTGATTGACCTGTGATGTGAACATGCCTGAAGCAGTCCTCCTGGAACAGCTTTCTTGCTGTTTCGTATGGCTACCATCTTCTAAGCCCTTTCAGGCACTGGGGACAAAGTCAGCGCCGGCTTAGAAAAGTTCCCGCCACTGAGACTTCTGATTCGGCTGGAGGACACTAATAACCAGAGAACTTTTCTAGAGCAAATTAATATCCTCTTAAAGAACGACGGTAAATTTCATATGAAGGTTTGTATTTTTGTCTGGCACTTAGTGTTCCTAAGTGGGCGAGTGCAAGCCCCCCCCCCCCCGGATCCACACCCCTCTTCTGGGACAGGCAACTGGAGGGGGGAGAGAGGAGAGGGTCAGAGTTCCCCGGAGGGCCCGGCTCCCCGTCCCCGCTTTCCGTATCGTCCAGCTAAGGCATCACGCCGTGCACAAGTAGTACTGAAATGTACCTGAAGTGCCTGCCCCACAGACAAGCCACTCTTTCTCTCTCTCTATTTCTTCCGCATCTCGGTACATGTCCTCCTCACTGAAACAACATTGACACACATCATAGCTTGTTTTCAGTATCATGACGGAGTTCTAACTGCCAGCCGCCTCAAGCAGGACGCGGAAGAGGTGGCAGAGAAAGAGTCGACTGTTACGTAACTGCAAAAAAGGTCTAATCCACCAATATCCATTTTGTCCAAATGATTTCTGCTAGAAAACTGATACTGAAAGGCAATGTAATTCAACAGCATATTCATCTAAGGAGCCTCAGAAAAGAAAAGAAAATCTATCTTGCAAAGATTCAAAATAACATCATCAGAGTAAGTCATAAGTTTAAAAGACACACCTTCCCCCCTCCCCCTTGAGGCTATGACAGCGATGACAAGAGACGGAGGCCTCCTGGATTAGGATGCATTCTGCTGGCGATGGCAAAACCTTTGGGATTCTACAAAAGGAAAACAAAAGTCTCATTAGGTTCAAAAGCAAGCTAAAGACGTTATGCCCTTAAAAAAAAAAGATCTTAATATTTTAAATGCAAGACCCACTATTTTCCTAATCTTTTAAAAAGACAACTTTTGAACATGCAGATAACACCCAGTGAAGTCTCAGAAGGTAGAAAGGGAGGCCCCGCTGGTGGATCTCCTGATGGCACCTGGGTTTTGGCCGTGTTTGATCCAACATGGCTTCTTATGTCTGGGGCAGTGATGCTCTGTATTCCTGGTGCTTGGGGGAGCAGCAGTGTGAGGGCTTCTGGTGTTCTGGCCCCAAGTAACGGACCTCCTGAGGGCACCTGGGTTTTGGCCACTGTGTGACACAGAGTGTTGGACTGGATGGGCCACTGGCCTGATCCAACTTCTCTTATGTTCTTATGTGGTAAAGGGGCAGGAGCCATGCATTTGTAGCTCATTGTTCCGCTCTGCTATTAGCAGAGACATGGGAAATCATACACAGCAAGCAGGTATGTGCATTATCCGGAACTTTGGCTGCCAGACTTCCTTGGGATAGAACTTAGGTTACTTTAGGGTAGCTGTGTGCATTCGGTATTTACCGAGCCGAATAAATACCCAAATAATGCCTTTTCAGCAATTTTCGGGTATTTACTAAGCCAAATACCAAATCAGAGCATCTATTCAGCAGCTGGACAAAGATTCCTGAATACTATCTGGCTTTATTCAACTCTTATTCGGCTCCATTATACCCTATGGGGCCATTATACTCAACGGCAAGTCTCTTGGGGTATATGCAGTGGTCTGGGTGGGGGAGGAGGTTTGAGGTAGAGGCACCAAATTTGCAGCATAGCTGCTGGAGCCTCTCCCCAAAAGGACCCCCAAGTTTCAAAAAGACTGGAACAGGGGGTCCAATTGTATGGGGACCCAAAGAGGGTGCTCCCCAACCTCCATTGTTTCCAGTGGGGAAAACCAGCAAGAATACAAGAACGTCCCAGAGAATCTCTGCAGCAGAAAGTGTGTGTGTGTGTGTGGGGGGGGATGTCTGCAAGGCCAGCAGCAGAACCAGTGACACTGGGGCAACGCCAAAACCCAAAAGGACTAAGGTCAAATCTGAGAATCTCTGTAGAAACTAAGGGGGTATTTCAGCAAGGACAGCAGAATCAGTGCAATGTACTAGTGCCCAGCAAAGGAGCCCACCTACTCGTGTCCAGCAGCAGAACCCAGTGCCAACGTTCCAGTGCCCAGAAGCAGAACCCAGTGCCAATGTGGCAGCAACAGAACTAACCAATGTGACACCAGAGAATCCCAGCAGGGTTTTTTAAAAAAAATTTCTTGGCAGAAACAAGGGCAGCAGAAACCCATCAGAACACTCAAAAGTGCGGGGTGGGCAGGCCACCCACACCAAGGCCAGCCCAATACACAGAAGTCCAGTAATGTTGAGCTGGCATTTGCCACAATGCCACAGGGTACTGCTGCTGGGCACCAGTAGGTTGGCATTGGGTTCTGCTGCTGGGCACTAGTACATTGCATTGGGTCTGCTGTCCTTGTAGAAACGCCCCCCTTACTTCAGTGGTTCTCAGATCTGACCTTAGTCCTGTTGGGTTTTGGCACCACCACAGTGGCACCGGTTCTGCTGCTGGCCTTGCAAACATGTCCCCTCCCCACTTCACTTTCGACTGCAGAGATTCTCTGGGACATTCTACTGGGCTTGTACAGCCTTGCTATCCCCCCATTGGAAACAATGGAGAATGGGGGCACCCTCTTTGGGTCCCCATACAATTGGACCCCCTGGTCCAATCTTTTTGAAACTTGGAGGTGCTTTTGAGGAGAGGCTCCAGGAGCTGCGCTGCAAATCTGGTGCCTCTACCTGAGACCCCCTCTCCCCCAGTCCACTGAATGTACCAGAGATTTGCCATTGAGTATAATGGCCCCCCATGTGGCCATGGTGGCTCAGAGGTTAAGACGCTGAGCTGCAGACCGGAAGGTCTGTAGCTCGGCAGTTCGAGACCTGAGTGCTGTGTGATGGAGTGAGCTCCTGTCTCTGGGCCCAGCTCCTGCCAACCTAGCAGTTCGAAAGCAAGAAATTGCAACTAGATAAATAGGTACTGCTTCGGTGGGAAGGTAACAGTGTTCTGTGCGCCTTGGCGTTTCGTCATGCCGGCCACATGACCATGGAAATGTCTTCAGACACCGCTGGCTCTTCGGCTTGGAAACGGAGATGAGCACCGCCCCATAGAGTCAGATTCAACTAGCTTTCGAGCAAGGGAAATCTTTACCTTTTTACTATAATGGCCCCATAGGGTATATAACAGAGCCAAATATATTTGGTATTACCAAATATTTCCTGAATCCGAATATAATGCTGGTCCTGGTATTTGGGAATATTCAAGAATGCCGAATAAATTTGGCTCTTTTATACCTGAATCTGAAAAAAACCAAATGTTTTTTCCTTGCACACCCCTAGTGTACACTATGGCCAAAATGGAGGGTGGTGAAAGTTTTCACTTCAGTAATCTTGCAGTTTTTTTAAAAAGTGGTTCGTATAAGACTACACAAAGGATCCACAGAGAGCTCCACATGGACACAACGGAAGGGGCTTTGATCTGTCTATGGGATTTCCCTGATTTGGCTTTGGGTGGTTGTAATAGTTCTGGATTCACAGATAAAGACTTCCAGAAAGAGCAATGCCTTAAAATATCTTCAATATGAAGAGCAACTAAAACTTTTTAAAGTCTCTAAACTTTGTTCTAGAACAAATTACGGTCCTGTGATCTTGGGGCAAGTCTAGAAGAAGAGAAGAGAAGAGATTGGGTTTATACCCCATGGCCCTTCACTACCCAAAGGTGTCTCAGAGCGGCTTACAAACTCCTTTCCCTTCCCCTCCCCACAACAGACACCCTGTGAGGTTGGCGGGGCTGAGAAATCTCTTGACAGAAACTGCTCTTTTTCAAGAACAGCTCTTGTCAGAACTATGGCTTGCCCAAGGCCATCCAGCCAGGTGCAAGTGGAGGAGTGGGGAATCAAACCCGGTTCTCCCAGATTAGAGTCCGCGCACTTAACCCCTACCCCAAACTGGCTCTACAAGAGGGTGTCCAGCAAGAGGATTCCCTGGCCCCAATGAGTGGCTTTTCTTAGGGCTGCTTTGGGGAGAGGAAGTCAACAAATCCCAGGGCACATACAGAAGCAACCTCAGGTGTCTTTGGATCGTGTCCAATGGATTTAACTAAATGTAGGTGGTGGCTTTAGGGAAAACGCTCCGACAACTGGAGATACGTAAGCCCAAATTGCTATCAGATTAAAAAAAGGAAAAAGTGCCAACATTAGACAGAGAAGTACTTACTGCAGGCCTGGTGAGTAAACTGCGAGGAGGTCGGGGGGCACAGTTGCACCACCACCATCAAAATGCATGCTAAGTCATCCTACTGGGCAGGAGGAGACAGCGATCTGTGAGGGGCGGGGGGCTTGGAAAAATAAAAAAGGTCGCTTTTAGGTAACTGTGCTCTGCTGAGCCTTTCCAGAGCCTCAGCCTCCAATGCCTCCAGACTCAAGGCTGCATTTGCTGGAATGCAGCTCTTTGCTATCTGGCTGCTCAGTATATCTGGGGTTTCTTTTAATCAGAATAAGCAAATAATGATCTATCTTGGCAACTACCTGTGCCTTACAACACTGATCGAAGCACTGTGCTCTGATAGTTCTCTTCAGTGACCAGTTTGGAGAGCCAGTTTGGTGTAGTGGTTAAGTGTGCAGACTCTAATCTGGGAGAACCGGGTTTGATTCCCCACTCCTCCACTTGCACCTGGCTGGATGACCTTGGGCCGGTCACAAGCTCTGGCACAGCTGTCCTTGAAAAAGAGCAGTTTGTGTCAGAGTTCTCTCAGCCCCACCCACCTCACAGGGTGTCTGTTGTGGGGAGGGGAAGGGAAAGGAGTTTGTCAGCCGCTCTGAGACTCCAAGTGAAGGGCGGGGTATAAATCCAATCTTTTTTTCTTCTTCCTCTTCTAAAAGCAGCTGTAGAAGAAGAAGGAGAAGAAGAGTAGGTTCTTATACCCCACTTTTCTCTCCTTTAAGGAGTCTCAGAGTGGCTGACAATTGCCTTTCCCTTCCTCTCCCCACAACAGACCCCTTGCGAGGCAGGTGGGGCTGACAGAGGTCTGAGAGAACTGAGACTGGCCCAAGGTCACCCAGCAGGCCTCATGTGGAGGAGGAGGAGGAGTGGGGAAGCAAACCTAGAGTCCGCCACTCTTAACCACTGCACCACGCTGCCAGTTCTTTTAAACACTTTCTGCAGCTGACGAGGGCGGTGCAGGGCAGCAGACAGGGGTCATGGTTTTTATACATGTTACCAGGGTTTAAAGCGTGCAGCTAACTAAACAGCCACGGGAAATTTAACCCCCTCCCATCTATTTGTTAGAAAGCCATTCATCAATACATTTAACATTCTGGCCCTGCTCAGGAAACTTTTCTCTTTAGGATTGGACCCAGCAAAAGGTCGGGGGGAGACACCAGGTCTGGTCCACAACCCAGTCTAAATGTGCAACATTCCCAATTGCGGGAGACACGATTTGTTCTGGACTCTGCTTTAGGTATAGCTCCAAAGGGAAAACATTGTATGCACAGGGGCCCTACAAGAACTAGATCACTTGTGAATGAGTCCACAGAAATGATTAGATCACAAAATCGTTTACTAGCCCGCCCACTCACATATATGTTAGTAATCTGTTCATCTAGATGAGAGAACCATTTAAAAAAAAAATCCCTGCTTGCCTACCTAGATGTGATCTGGCGAGTAGCTATTTACAAGTCTGACCTAAACAAGTTTTCATACTAAAGGCACGGAAAGCATATTGTATTCAGTGAAGTACAGTCCCCCTGCGACAGAGGCTGCTTGTTCATGAGTAAAACACTGAGGAGAGGCACCGTGACCTGGGTCTCGTCAGATCTCAGAAGCTAAGTAGGGTCGGCCTTGGCTAGTACTTGGAAGAGTGACCTCCAAGGAATACCAGGGTTGTGAGGCAGGAGCAGCAAACGGCAGGTCTGGCAAAACAAGTCTAGCTCGCGACCGAGTGGTGCATAATGCTGAAAGAGCTAGAATGTCTGGCTCCCATACAATCTTAGGATCTCCTGGCTATTTTACACATGATGCCATACAATGATTATTAATTCTTATTATTGAGGAAAGGTGCTTCAAACAAACACACCAACAATATTCTGACACTGTGATTTGCTAAAGGAGACTCCCACAGGCACCAACAACCCGACTGCTGCTTTTGAGATGACTAGAGACATCAAGGATTGATGAATACACCATGTGGGTGTCTGAGTGCTATCAGGAGTAACAGAACCCCAGCCCCGGGCCCCCCCCCCCCCCCCCCCGTGACAGCTGTAAGTACTGCTTCCAGACTAGAGCGCTCTGGGACTTCTTCCTATCATCTCCACCACAGAGGTCTTATCTGAAAAAACCAACTGACTGGGTAACACCTCTGTTTTGCATGTAACACAGGATGCAAAGAGAGAAAAACAGGAGATGCCTGCAAAAATGTTACTCCTCTTGCTGGGGACACAAAGGGAAGTCTGTATTCAGACTTACAGGGTTTGATCAGAGAGAAACCAGGTAGATACTTAAATCACACTGTCTGCCACCTGAAAAAATAAAATAAGACTTTAAAGTTGGTTTTCTAGGGGTGGGATCAGATTGTCGTCCAGCGCAAAGCGTCAAGATGAAGACCGCACGATTGGCTGAACAAATTTATGGGATCCAGCCCCCCCGGCCATACCTGTTCGGTATATCATTAGGCTATTGACCACAGTTGCTGCAAGATGAAAAAGTGTCAGAGTAAAGCACAGAGCCTGTGGACCTGCCAGAAAGGAGTCTGTATTACCATCTGCGCCTTCTAGTACAGAGAAATCCAGCAAAAAGGAAGGGTGGGGCAAACAGAAGCAACTAGGACTTGAAAGGGACTGGCCAGCTCTGGCTAACTGCCCACCCAGCCATCCGTGCGGACACACGTGCAGCATTAAAGCCCCGTCAGGGCGGACACTGGAAGAGGGGCAACTGGGCAGTGGGAGAGGAGAGCGCCTGTGCTCCCAGGGCGGGCTCCCAGTCGGCCAGCCATCGTCACCGGGAGCCAAACGGCATCCGCTCCAGGCCACCACGTTTCAGTGTTGTTTCTGCCCAAGGAAGGATGTCACGGGACACGGAAGCTGGCTCCTCCCTCCAGGGCACCACACTGTGCCACCTACTATGTATCAGGAAGAGAAAGCAGACAGTTCAACAGCATCTGAGACAGAGTGCCTCAGCCAAACGTTGACACGAACTCACTAGTCTACGGAGGATCCCACGGGTGAAGAGACGGCTGACGGTTTTACGTCACCCTTGCTGTAATTCTCTCGGCTGGGTCGAAACGCTGGCAGGACTTCTGTTCGAGGCCTCTCCGTAGGACATGGGCCATCTTCTTTGGCCACTGAGGTAGGTTTTCCTTTGCGGCTGGTGCCTGTGCTTGACAAGTTCTTGTCATGGGGAGCGTGTTTCTCTTTTTTACCTCTAGTCAGCCGTAGAGGAAACACGCTCTTTTTGGGCTTTTCGTCCGTGGTCGATGAAGGGCTGGATGCTCTCCTGGCTTTGTGCTGCAGCATCCCAGGGCTACGATAAAAAGAGATGGAAAGACGTTGTGAGTGCTGAGTATGGGGCAGTGATGCTCTGTCTTCTTGGTTCTGGCCCAGCCGGATGACCTCCTGACACCACTTGGGTTCTGGCCACTGTGTGGATGGGCCATTTGGCCTAATCCAACATGGCTTCTCTTATGCTCTTATGTCTGGGGCAAGTGATGCTCTGTCTTCTTGGTGCTTGGGGGGGGGGGCGGCACGGTGGGAGGGCTTCTGGAGTTCTGGCCCTGCTGGTGGACCCTCTGATGCCACCTGGGTTCTGGGCACTGTGTGACACAAAGAGTGTGGGACTGAATAGTCCAGGGGTGTCAATCATGCGGCCCAAGGGCCACATCCGGCCCCCCACGGGAGTTGTCTCAGGCCCACAAGCAACTGGCTACCATCTGCTTACTTCTCCCTCTCTTGCTTTCTTCTGTGACACAGCTTGCTTTGCCAGGCTCTCTCAATCACACAGCAGAGCCATTCTTTGTACCCAAAACTTGGGGGGGGGGGGTGAGTTTTGTTTGGCTCGTTATGCCAGGGCTCTCCTGGGTACAACTGGGTTTGCCTCCCCTTTTTCACTATATTCAAGCCCTCATGATCCAGCTTTTCTCAGTAGGAAAACAATGTGAACTATTTAGATGAGGAATAACAACAAGCCAGTGAGGTGGATTAGGCTGAATGTTTGTGTCCAGACTAAGTTCACCCAGTTTATTTCCTTTCCAGACTGGGGATTTGGAACCTAGACTTCCCAGATAATAGGCTGATATATATTGCTGTCTCTCTATTCTTACACTGCCACATATTAGTTGTAGGTATTCTCTGGAGAAGACTATAGTTTTGGAGAGAAACAGCCCTCAGCCTATGTCATGGTGCCTTGACATATTCTTGATCACCACACAAAGGAACTTGTGTACAAAAGCTCACAATGCCCAGCCATTTCATGTTTTCCTCTGGGTCTTAGGCTCAAAGCATTGACCATGAGATTTCTGTAGTGAATGTCGAAAAATTAAAAGTAGGTTTGCAACTTACAGATACGCACCTGAACAACACTTGAACAGCATACTCAAGATTGCTACAGGACAGACATTGACTCCAGATTTTGACGGAATAATTCAAAGCAAGAGGAGTCAAGTTATCGGAGACTGTTAAATAAGCAAAATGTTGCAAGAGTGCTAATGCTTTAAGCATGTTTTATTTTAAGTTTTAAAAAAAATCTTTGTGTTTGTGTCCTTTATAAAGTTTATATCTCTGCTACCTGACATTACATTTACGACACACATGGCCCGGCCCGATAAGGTCTCATTTATGTCAGATCCAGCCCTCATAACAAATGAGTTCATCACCTCTGGAATAGGCACTGGCCTGATCCAGCATGGCTTCCCTTATGTTCTTACGTCTGCGGCAGTGATGCTCTGTATTCTTGGTGCTGGGGGGGAGGGGGAAAGTGGGAGGGCTTCTGGAGTTCTGGCCCGGCTGGTGGACCTCCTAATGGCACCTGGGTTTTGGCCACTGTGTGACACAGAGTGTTGACTGGATGGGCCATTGGCCTGATCCAACATGGGCTTCTCTTCGTTTTTTTGCTATTATGAGTGCCTATAATCTCTCACCATGTTAAGTTAGGCTAGTAGAAGTTGTTATGCATGGAAAAATGTAGCAGGGGGAGCAAATCCGCTCAAATTTGGCTGCCTAAGGGGGTGGTGAGCTCCCCCTCACTGGCAGTCTTCAAGCAGCGGCTGGACAAGCATTTATCAGGCCACAGGTGTCAAACGTGTGGCCCACACAGGGCTCAGAACCAGCCCCCAAGCAACTTCCTTCTCCTGCTGCCTTTTCCAGGGTGGCTGCTGCAGCTTCACACCAGCTTCCTTCCCCCCCCCCAGATCCCTCAGTGGCTCTTTGCTTCCTGCCTGTTGCCTCTTCCCCCCCCCCAGACAGAGATGGAGAGAGCTTCGTGGCTGCTTCGTGCTGGAGAGACACAAAAACAAGCCTCTTTCTCTCAAACACACACAGACACACACCCGCTTCTGCTTCCTTCTCCGGGGCTGCTCCTCCTGTTTTGGGGGGAAGGAGGAAAGAGAGAGAAAACCGAAATTGGAGTCCCATGACAGTTTTAAGACCAACAACGTTTTATTCCAGATATAAGCTTTTTGTGTACAAGCACACTTCTTGGGTGGGTGGGTGGGAGGGAGGGTGGATTCTTCTGACAAGCACAATGTACACTGAGGAAATTATTTTGGCTTATTCTGAAAAGTTTAATTTTTTTTAAAAAAAAGATTGGATTTCTCTGTTCCTATCTGGAGCTATTTTCTTTCAAAAAGATCCTGATCAGGAATTAGAACACATGGATTGGTCCTTATATCTTGGACAGTGGAGTGATTTCAGATGCCAAATGATAATAGCGCACATTGGTAACCAGACAGGAAAACTAGGTCTCAGTTCAGTCCAGGAGGGTGCATTCTCTTGCGCTTCGTTATCAATTGCAATTCAGCAGTCCCTCTTTCTAATCTCCCTTTGAAATCCCTTTGTAAAAGCACTGCTGCTCTTAGGTCAGCAACTGAATGTTGTGGTTTCTAATGTCAGACATGTTCGTTTATTCTCTGCATCCTCCTGGATGGAATTGAGACCTAGGTTTCCCATCTCATTACCAACACTGGTATCTCCACGCTCCCTGATGAACACACTTGTACAATCTATGTGTTTGCAAACAACATCCATTTCCGTGTGCTACGGCACTATGAGCCATAGTTTCAGGAAATTTCAAAGTCTGGCTGCTGCATTTTATTAAATATTTGACCTACATTTCTCCCCTCGTGAGCCCGAAAGTTTTCTCTCCACTTGAATAAAGGTTCCGAGTTCAGTCATCCTGAAAGTTTAACCCAGCTATCTGGGGAACACTTGCTCATGCCTCGCCCACTTCACAAGAATCCCTGCATGCAACTCAGCAATAAACTGGAGCTACCAGATTTCCATGGCGGGGTGAGGTGGGGGAGGTTGTCCCAAAACAAAATGCAGGCCTCCGATTACAGTCAGAGACTGAATGGCTCCGTGCAAGATTAGGAAAGATTAGGAAAAACTGCATCTGAGAGACCTTCAGAGAGGAACTACTAGCCCTGCAAAGTGTCACGGAATACAAATCGGAGCACCTACTCAACACGGGAAAATCCCCCACAGGGCAGCGGGGCTGCGGAAAGCTTGTTGTTCCTCATACGAAATTTGCAAGTGGGGGGAGGGGAGGAAGATGGGGGAGAGTGCTAAAACATGGGAAGCAGATTAGAAAACAAAAAGCCTGTTGAGAAATCAAGTCCGTTGAAGGAGTTCTCAGAACTGCCTAATCATAATATTTGAAATGCCATAAAAATGAGCACCAAGAATTATCAACATGAGCATTGGAAAAAATTTTGGTCCCTTCGGAAGGCTTTAGATGTTACACAGCAGCTAATTTTGGTTTTCCAACTTCTCTCCTTCCATGTCCCAGCTTTATGTCCTCCCCAACCCCCCTCCTCCAACCCCCAGCCCTTCTCTCCAACGGGAACCGAAAACGATGTACAAGGTCCTCTTCTCCTCCACCTTATTACAAACATGCATCTTGCCACTACTGGTGTGCTGCTTTATGCTCCGCAATACATACTCGGTTTCTCTTGCCGAAGAGGAGGACTTACCCACCAAGGGAGGCTGGTTCCTGGCTGGTACAGAGCCGGAATCGCTTGGTGCTGTCTGTCAGAGCGGAGACGCCAGCGCTGCTCGCGCAAACCTGCCTTTCGGGACCCGATTTCGGCCCAGCCGGTTTGGCCTCCTCGCCGGCAGCAGCGGAAGCGGCGGCAAGCCCAGACTTCCCTCCGTTCACTGGGGTGCGCGGCGGCTGGGTCTTCTCCGAGCTCATCTCCAGCAGCTCTGCTCGGTCACCTCCGGCCTGATGCTTCTGAAAGGGGGGGGGGGGAGAAACACACCTGTCCCCATGAAAGGCGCTGGGGGATTCCGGGCCCTACCCTGGCTAGTAGCGATGGACACAAAACCTCGAAGGCGCAGGAGCCGCAAGGGCCATGCCCACCGACTCCGCTGGGCATGCAGAATCCCCCCCGGTTCGGTCCCTCCAGCGGCAGGGGGAGACGGACGGGGAAAGACCTCCCCTCCCTCTGCCTGGGACCCCCGGAAAGCCGCTGCCGGTCCGGGCCGACAAGACTGACCCTGACGGGCCGCGGGTCGGAGTCAGTCCGGGGCAGCTTCAGGGGTCCCTCGCGCCACACCTGGCTGGCCACATCTGGATGCAACGCGCTGCAGACGGGGGGGGGCGGCGGCGGCTGCAGCCGCTGGGAGGAGCCCCGTCCCTTGAAGGCGGCGCGAAGTGACCGGCGGCGGGGGGGGGC